AAGCCTGTTGTAAAACGCGGTGCTCCAGCGCATCTGGGAAAGTTATGACATGATAACACACAATAGACAGCTAAGTTGGTGTTTTGTGCATTTCACCGTCACATAACATCAAGATGCCCAAGAAGAGAGCGCGTCGGATGTATGTAAGCAAGGGTTTATGTTCTGCGGCCTTTCGTCAAACCATATGTCATCATGAGGCTCCCGTCAGTGAGTTGTGTTAAGGCGACAGTTGCTTCTAACCCGTAACAGGCTGAGCTGGTCATAAGTTCAGCTTAAGAAGCGAAGCGGCAGGTAAAAAGATGAATGACGTGCTCTCTGCATCTGACTTGTGCTGCTGCACATGCAGCGGTGGACCATGTGTGGCAAAAGATCATGCCCCAGGACAGTGTGTAGCGGTGGAGCATGTGTGGCAACAAATCATGCCCCAGGACAGTGTAAACGTAGGAGAACGGTCACGGCTCAGGGGCCATGCGTTAGCCCGTGGGCGCGATGGGGTGGGACGCGGTGGTGCCGGCGAGTCGTACGCCGATCGTGTTGCGGGTGGGCTCAAAAGGAGTATAAGAGGTGCTACTCGGGGCGGGTAGAGAGAGTCTCCCTGTCGGCGTTGCGTGCGGCAGTTCGCCGTTGTGTGTGGGGTGGTCCGCCGAGATGTGATCTCCGAGTACAAAACACAAACGCAATTGTCATCTAGCAAGGAAAAGCGTCGTCAAGCCACGATAATATGGTCCGCTCATTTAGCTGTACTCACCTCGGGTGTACATCCGGAACACTTTATTCCAGAGGCTTGTATTACAACCACACTACACGCCCAAAAGAATGGCGTTTTCACACGTAATGAGATAAGATACCATGCTCTGTGAGTGAATCAGTACGATTTAATGAAAATTTGCTACTTTATTAGGCCTTGGCCGAAGCGGTATAGCGCCCAGATTTTAAGGAATAGGGCATAGTGATGAACGTCAAACGTCCGGCTGCTTTGCAGTTTTAGAATATGATACATTTCACTTTGTATGGTTTTTACCTACCGTACGAAACACAAAGAAGCGAAGTTTAATCAAATTTAACACGCATGTAATTTCTTCTCACAGTGACGGATTTTCACGCCGCCCCCACATGCCTTCAACAACATTAAAGCGCCTCCAGGATCGTCTCAATGAGTCGGTTTTGTGCTGTAAATGCACTTCGTCACACTCTGATGGCCCACTAGCGGTGCCTAGCGGGAGATCCACGCGAAAACCCCAGCTGATGGAACGAGCCAAAAGTTCGAACCAGAGCAGAACACAGTAGATGTCTAGACAAATGGCAGACACGCGTTTATCCGGATGTCCTTCGACCGCACGCATTTAGCGGAATGTTGAATGTTTTTTTGTCGACGTGTCTTTTGTTCACAATGTCAGAACGGTTAAATGCTAAAAGCCGCACAGTTGGTGACGGACATGCCCCTTGCTGACGTGGCAAATTGCCGAAGTGTGAATGGGCATAAATCCATATTTACTTAGCCAATTTCCCAAAATGTCAGTCATAACGAAATGCCCGCTATTCGAAAGCTTATTTGTCGACGTGTTCTCCTGTCAAATGATTTTTGCCAAAGTGTTCTCTTGTGGAACATTAATGTTCCAAGATGGCCCCTTGTCCAATGCTGGTTGACTCAATGTGCTTCAGTCGAAAACTTAGTTTTGAATTGCTATTTAGTCTAATGCTTACTAACCACAATGTTAATTATTCGAATGCTAATTTACCAACAAAATGTTTTTGTGTGCAATACTTATCATCTGTTGCATGTAGAGATTGTATATTAAATTGCTGTGAGAGATCTTATGCTCCACCCCCCCCCCCCCTCCCCACCAATCTCCCCTACCAGGGCAAGGAGTAAAAGGGAAATTTGGAAAAATAAGCGGGATCCAATCGAATAGGGAAGCGGACAATCTTGCTTTGAGTATGAATTTCACATGGTTAAATACCCCTCCCTGAGTCGACGTTACCGACCTCCACAACAATTTATTTTCACTGTTGACGCTTCGGGTGAGTGTACAACACGGCCCTGCTGTCTGCGTTTGGCCTTTACGCCTTTTATCCGAGCATTTCGCAATTGACAAATTATGCTGTTAGTTACGTTAGTGAGACAGCTACCTGTTGCTGACGGTGGATATACCCGGCACCTGGAAGTCTATTTCAACATAATTAAAGTCGATTTCAAAAACCGTAAAAACAGGGTGTTTCTTCACTCACAAATGGAATAATACTTGAAAATCAGGGGCGGCGCAGGAGGGGGTCGGGGCCGAGGGGGTAATGGTCCCCCTTTTTGCCAGCAGAAGGATAAGAATATGTTTTCTCCCTACATTTCTGGGGAAAGATTTATTTGTCTCAAATTAAAGGCATCGTAACCATCCGTTTAGCACGACAATTTAGATTAAGGAGGTCTCATAATTGAGCCACAGAGCAACGAAATGGGCTCAAAGACACTTTTCGAGGCCAAGAGGCCGTCTTTCTGGAACATCAGGCCACATTTATGAATAAGGTAGCCGATGCACTAGAGCAGAAGGTTCAATGCCATTTTGAAGGGAATATCCCACCTTTCTTATTTTTCATGTATCCTTACATCAGACACGTACGATTTGAGCAATAATGCCAGCTCTCTCGAGATCCTTCTGAATAGCTCAGAATTTCGATGTGAAGTAGCTGAGCCCAAATGAAAAAGTCACATTTGACGCGTTGCTCACCACCATGAAAGTCATGCATTTCATTTGCCCTTTCTTTTTCCGTGTGTGTTCTGTCATGTTTGCAACACACTTACAGGGTGTCAAAATGTTTGTTTAATAATGCTACGAAAGATTTAAACGCCGGATCACATTACATAACAATACATCACATCATATCACGTCATATCACATAACATCTCATACATTAAGATATCACATCATCAATCAAATCATTATATAACCACAAACACATTATCCCGTGGACTCAACGAAACGTTGCACTATGGCTTCGATTTCTCCGTTATGGCGTTCACCATAGCGTCTCTTTTCGAGACACTCTTTGGCTTTACGAGTGGGAGCATCGCATAATCCACGTGCCACACTTTTTAAGCCTTAACTAATTCTATTTTCCGTAAGAGGCCCTTGCTCGCTGGACTAATCACACACGCTTCGTAATTTTAGACCCAAAAATGGTAAAAATCGATGTTCTTATCATGCTTTAACGGTGCTGCAGAGGTACCTACCAGTGCTGTTATTAGACTTAACTAGTCCTGAGGTTTCACAAGTGTACTTTTGAATCGTGCAGCAAAGGTGGGACACTACCTTTAAGAACGCTCCTCTGGTGACTCGGGAGGCCCGATATGAACCAGGGGCTCCATTCTGGGTTAGAAGACATCCTCGATGTCTTTCACCTTCACAGGAGGCTCAATACCTGCAACACGAGACCCCTTTCATTGATCAGATAGTCATGGTTCGGTGTTAGAATATCTTGTTTTGCGAAAACGAGCCTCATTGACTAGATTTGGAGGCTCTTTGTGAATCAGAAGCACCCTGATCTGCAAGATAAAGTCCCTCTACGCGTCAGAAGATCCTTTTTAAGGTAACCGAGGCCCTTTGCTGCATAATTAGACCCCCATTCTGAATTTTAACACGCACCCGGGTGGGGGCCAAGTTGACTGCCCCCCCCCCCCCCCGAAGGTTTTTCCAGAATGGTTTCCGAACGGCACGGCGTGGCCGCGCTATATTTTGCATAGCTGTAGGCAATTGCATAGCGGATCGTTTGACGTAAAAACTTGATGTAATCTGTAAGGTCGCTGACCTATGGCAGGTCAAAGTCACGCCATGTTTTCAGCGAAGACAATTTCTAGGGAATCCTTCAATCTGATACAACAACGGAGCGTTAGACGAAGCCATACATCTCTGAGATGCTTTCTTCGGCAACACAACAGTTGAATGAGCAAATTAAATTGACCTAAGGTGAGGTCTGAAGGTCACACCAAGATCAAAACCAACCTCTTTTGTTACTCTAGGACTTGCTGTATGTGATAGTTTCTAGTGCTCATTTCTAGTTTATTAAAACAGGAACCGCATTACACATCTTCCATGGACTTCTTAAAGGTCAGAATAGGTCATTAAGCTAAAATGGCCCGCATCAACATTTTGTTCTAGGAACATACTGCCTAGGGTAATCTTTGTCGCTTAGTCAAATGCAAAACTCAAAGCAATCTTGTATAATTTTGTTCACCTTGACCTTCAAAAGTCAAAAAAGGTCACTGACCTTGAGTGAAAATGTGACCTCTTGCTTAGAAACGGTTATATAGGTTTTGGGGCACTTAAGAGACTAATATGGAGCTTGACCTTGTTTGACCTTTCTTGACCCGAAGGTCATAGCCTAGGAACCTGAAACCTTGACCTAAGTGAGTCCACGTACGGGTCAACACACTGTACATTTGGTGTCTCTAGCTTTCTTAGTTCCCAAGATCTCAGGGGGTTCAAATTGACCCCCCACCCCCACCCCCCACCCGAGCTAAGGGTATCTAGCCGGCCACCCGTGCGCGTGTTAACAGTTGACATTTATTTACATATTCGCATTGATGCATCGAACACATGCACACAGTTTTCCTCCTCTTGAATGCGACACTGCTCATAAAGTCTCGCGTGAGGAGGCCCTATTTTTCCAGAAGGCCCCCTTTAAAATTCTGCGCCCCCTCAACTAAAAATCCGCAGCGCCGCCTCGAATACAAACTTTCAGTGACGTGATGCAACGGGTCAATCATTTGTTGCAACAGCTTGCGGTACTAAAGAAGGTCATACTCCGCCTATCACACCAACTACGGAATGCTACTTCTTTCACTTAAGCCCTAGCTCAAGCTGCGGTTGTAGTCCGGAACTTTCTGAAACGCGATTCACGATTCCATTTGATTGTACTAAAAATGGCAGCATACACAAAATCTTGTGCTGCAATATTTCGTGACAAATACAACGCGACAGCGACATCCCGGCAACAACTTAGTTGTGAATCTGAGAAAGTAGTTTCACGCACGGATCATGGCTGCTGTCAATTTCACCGCATAGAGAACAATGTTTCAAGTAATTTCTACATGGCCCAGTTAATTTCAATTAAGTTTTCCCCTAAATCATTTTTTCCAGCACAAGTCATTCGAAATCAGTGCTATTTAACCTGGCGTGAATTTGGAGCGTACATGCCGCGAGATTGGCACACGTTTGTTCAACTTCTGATGCAACGGATGTTTTTTGTAAACCATGCCACGAATCAAATGGACAAGACATAAATTGATCTTAATTTCTTAGTATTTTTGTCAGTTGTCTGCTGCCATGCATGTATTAATCACCTGACAGATTGGTTCATAGTTAATTGCCATCTGCATCCTTGGAGCACAGAAACACAATTCAAACCTTGTGACTGATGTTCAGTTGCACTTTTCTTGATTTTTTGCCTTGTGTTCTTGTCAGCCATCATGTGCTAGTTATTCATAAATGCTGGTGTTTACTAGGCCCCTTATATGCCACATATTTACTGAACTACACCCCTCCAAAAATTGTATCACAACACATTTGCTCAGAGTTTTCTTTGGACTTATGATGCAAGTGTAATGTATTGAATGTTTGCCTAGCACTTACAATGACCAACTTATTATGATCTGCATGTATAAAGTTTGTCTTAGATTACATGCCTCATACAGTGTGGCCATATTCATATTGTCACCCATATATTGCTACTTTATTTATACATGATCAATTTAATATTGACCTTCTGGTACTGTGCTTTCAGATGGGGCATGTGTCCAAGAGATGGTTATCCTCGGCACAGAGAGTGGTTGTTACAGGGATGGGTGTTGTGACACCTTTAGGCTGTGGTACACAGCATGTTTGGGAAAGGTAAGCATGCATTAAACTACCACAAATGACAGCAACCCTTGTTTTTTCATGTCCATCCTGATGTGTGCATGCTTTTTTCAGATGGTGCATGTGTCCAAGAGATGGCTTCCCAAGCTCAGGAGTGGTTGCTTCATGGCATGTGCATGTGTGTGTGTGTCATTTGAGCTTTATGATGTACTCAGCTGCTGAGGTCATCTAACTCCCACCCTGGCAGGAAGGGCAAGCACAGTGAGAAATCAAATTCTGTACCTCTAGTTTCCCAGTTTCCAAGTTGCTACATGATTGGTAGCAGCTGCTGCACCAAATGTGCAGAGTTGGCAGAGGGCTGGAGTCATCATGCTGACCATTGCAGCACATTATACTTTTGCCACTAAATTTTGTTGTTGACCTTGAGTCCTGTGATTGTGTGGTAGGGTTCGGGACTCACACAACAAGCACTGCTTAGCATGAGATCTGATCCCATAAATCCACTCGCTCCAAAGGCTCAGATGAAATCTTGAAGAAATGTAGATTCTCTTTTGCTTGAGTGCTGTAATTGAAAGCAACTTCTGTTGAACACACAATTTTCTTATTTTTGGTCCTTCCTCATGCCATTTATGTCATGTGCCCACTGCATGACAATTCTTATGAACACTTTCAGGCATGCAACACCTGCTAGCCTCATGCTAATAATGTTTGCACACTTGCATTTTTCCCCACCTGGTGTGTTTAAGACAGGGCGCTATATGCCTTGTAAGGATGGTGGTTTACCAGTTCTTACTGTGATTGACTGGTTCCCAGCTGGCCTTCATGGTCACACCTCTGGACTGTCCTCTTGTAAAACGCCTGAATTCCCCATGACTCCTCTGATCATTCCATTCTCTGAACTCCTGAAGTCGCCATCCCATTTCCTGAACAACCAGTATAGATTACCATCTTACGCATCCCAAATCGGTGTCACCAGGCTGTTGCGGGGTGATGTGGCCACATCAGCTCTGTCGGACCCGCGCTACGCCGGCCTGCCGAGTCGCGTGGCCGGCCTGGTGCCTGAGGGCAGCGGGCCCGGCCAGCTGAACATGGCCGCCCACTTCGCGGCCGCCGAGCGCCGCTCGCTCAGCCGCGCCACCTGCCTGGCCGTGGTCGCTGCCGAGGAGGCCGCCCGCAGCGCTGGCTGGCGGCCAACCACTGAACTAGAGCAGGTGGGTCGCTTTCCGACCAGTGGCGCTTGATGGCCATATGTACCTGTCATACTTTTTGGCGCTGTGCCGTCTGCTGCTCAGTGAATGGAGTGAAGGCTCAAGGCGTGACCTCACACAGACTGAGTCCAGAATTCAGCAGTTGGTGACGGTGGTTTTAGTACCAACACAGTGCCTCCACCAGTAGCCCGCACGGCGTTGTACCGCAGGTGCGCACGGCCGTCTGCATCGGCATGGCCTCGCCGGAGCTGGAGGACATCGCCGAGACGGCGCGTCGCCTGCAGCAGCGCGGCCCGCGCGGCGTGTCGCCCCACTTCGCCGCGCGCGTCCTGCACAACATGGGGGCTGGCGTGGTCGGCATCCGACTGCGTTGCCGCGGCCCCACCCACACGGCCAGCACGGCATGCGCCACCGGTTCGCATGCCATCGGTGACGCGCTCCGGCTGCTGCGCGCCGGCGCCGCCGACGCCGCCTTCTGCGGCGCCTCCGATGCCGGCGTCTCGCCGCTCGCCGTCGCCGGCTTCGCGCAGATGCGCGCGCTCAGCGTGCGCTGGAACGCAGAGCCGGCGCACGCGTCGCGGCCGTTCGACGCGGCGCGCGACGGCTTCGTGCTAGCTGAGGGCGCTGGCGTGTTGCTGCTCGAGACGCTTGCGCACGCACGCCGGCGCGGTGCCGCGCCGCTGGCCGAGCTGCTGGGCTGCGGTCTCTCGGGAGACGCCTGTCACGTGTCGGCGCCGAGCGAAGATGGCGACGGCGCGCGCCGCGCCATGGCTGCGGCGCTGCGCGACGCCGACGTGCAGCCCGAGCAGGTGACGCACGTCAACGCGCACGCGACGGGCACGCCGCTGGGCGACCGGGCCGAGCTGCGTGCCGTGGCGGCGCTGCTGACCACATCCCGGCCGCTGGTCACCTCCAACAAGGGCGCGCTGGGTCACCTGCTGGCTGGTGCAGGCAGTGTGGAGGCGGCCATGACGGTGATGTCGTGCCGCCACGGCCTCGTACCGCCCACCGCCAACCTGACGCATCCCGAACCGGTGGACGGCGTGCGACTGGTGGCGCCGCGCGCGGCCGAGTGGAAAAGCTCCGGCCGCCGCAGGGTGGCGCTCAAGAACTCATTCGGCTTCGGTGGGACAAACACCAGCCTCTGCTTCGCGGAGTTTGTCGAGTGATGAACTTTCGCAGGCGTCGTGATATGTTCCTGGTCTAGTCATGATAGCTGCAAAAGAGTGTTATGTGACGTGTATGTGACGCAGATCCATCCTCGGGCCTCGGTGCGTTTTTAGTGCTCTGTCATGCAGTGAATAACCCTTCAGAAGTTTTGCCACAATGGGACAATTGAAAGATGTTACGATTTACCTGACTGTCATGGGCTTGTGTTAAGCGCTGTTGGGCTCTCACAAATGTTCCTTCTTTAAGCTACAAAATTTTTGACTATATTTGCTCCTGATGGCAAGTTGGCGTCGTCCGGGCCATTGATTATTTTTGCTCGTTTTCCGTACGGTTTTGTACGTGGTGAAAATACCGCTACATGCTATGCCTTTATCATCATAAATAGTGAATTCCCAGTAAATATATTTTCCTTGGATAGGAATAGACAGTTCTTGGACCATCCCTAGATCGGCCTCCCACGCAGAAGTAACACGCAATGGTGGGTGACATGAGCTTGCATGGGCCATAGCACGAGCTCGACATGAGCTTGAGTCCATAGATGGCGTTACGATCAGGCTGGCAGCTGCCTCTAGTGTCTGTTCCCATCGCTCCGCAAAAAGATGAGATAAGTTTGGAGGGGAACGGAGGAGCGCTGAGATCTGCTACCACCGGAACGAGTTCGCAGGAGGTATCAACTGTCTGCGCGTAACTTAGCCAAACAGTTTTGGCTCACCGACGGCGACTAACTTCGGGCGTTGCGTCGACAGAAAAATGTACCCTAAATCGCAAATTTGTACAATAGTAATAATTACATCAAAATGGCATCACACCAAATGACGTAGGGTATAGCCTACCTGCGCCAATTTACGCACCAGTCCTTTGTTTCCGTTACGTGACAACAAGTAGAGCAAAAAAAAAGAAGAGTGAACTGTGCCACTCATGTCTACCACAGCCTCCTGTAAACTCCGAAAAAACACCTTTCATTTCGGAGCGGGATGCAAGAGGGTGCGGTGAGCTTTGAGGAGCTTGGAGAAGGTCGGAGGGGTCACGGAAATGATCAGATAAGTTTTGTGGAGCTTTGAGGAGGTAAGAGGAGCGACGAAAACAAGCCCTTAGTAATGTTGTAACATGATCGGCTTTTGAAAGGGCCAATGACCCAGAATATCACGGAGTAAACTTCACTAAAGTTTTAAAGTCGGATCTCCGTAAACGCACCTCTTCAAAGTGTGATTTGATCATCCGACCGATGATCACCGCATGGCTCACGCTTGAATGAGCTGGACTGGAACCACGATCACGCCTGACGCGTGGACGTAAAAACCCGTTTATTATCGCTGTTCTCTTAGCTATGTTCTCTTATCTTCAAGTTTTCTGATTGAGTGTGCGTCCATCTGACCTGTACGATCGTAACCCGCCATCGACATGTGGCATGCTCGAAAAAATGGACTTTGCGATGCAGCAATCTGTAGCATAAATTACCAATAATCCAACGATGGTGTAGCGGTTTTTCAACGAATAGTAAAGATCGTGCATTTTGTTTTGTTTTTGTTTTGTATGTGTCATTGGCTTCGTAGGTCTGATGGTACAATATATTCCGGTAAAATATGGCGCTGCCCATCGTGACATGTCGCGCGTGACGCATGCAAACGTGCTCTGTTGGCTTAACTTGAAAACGAAAGTTCGCAAATTGTTTAAAAAAGATGACCAAAGTGCGAGCTAAAACCGCCCCTTATCTTGGCAATCTGTGGTCACAGAGAAATGAAAGATGCACATTTAGACTCGGCAAAGAAGGTGTAATCGCACTGGCGAAAGGCTGGGTCAATGCTTTTGATGGTGCGCGTTAGGGTGTGTCATCGAGGGAGTGGATCTCTTGGAATCAGCTGAGACAAAGTTTTTCCTTGGCACACGGATTAATGATAAACATTCAGGTCTGTCACACCTCACCAATGTTGAAATTCGTGGGTCGCGAGTAGTTTTTCTTTCATAGGCCAAGAAAACCGTATTCGATACTAGCGCCACCTGTTTTACGCACCGGGGTCATCACCCAATACGCCTCAAAGCTGCCACTTTCCACACTACTGGTGCTTGATGGATTAAGCATGAAGTAGATATCATGAAGAGCACCAGCAAATCATTGCCGAACAGCTCTTAACCTGACTTTAGTAAGAAACAACTTATTTTTGGTAAAACCCAAACCTGCGCAGTTATGAGAATGCTGTAGCAGACCGGGTTAGGTTCAAGTTTGTTATTGCTAGCGCATCATTGTGATGTTTATTTGCAATTTATGTGCTTTTTGCGTGGGATACATGGGTATATTAGTTTAGCTTTGCCGGTACTGAAATGTTCCTTTCGACCAATTACTTGCATAAGCATGCCGAAGGGTAAACGGTCGCGCAGAGAACATTTTGTGACAGGCCACCCGGCTCCACTGTCCCACCACCAACTGCCGACTACGGGAAAGCCTGGAGCTACATGAGGTGGCTGAGCGAAGCGAAAAGGAATATCACTAATACCATCTTCGAGACCGCGACGGTAGAAACCAGGGAACTGTGGACCAACGAAGCCATCCCTGTTCATGATCTAAAATGCGTCACAAAGTTGATCGAGAGGGATTGATATCATCCCAACAGAGCTATCAGCAAGAAATCAAAGAAAGAGTGTCACAGCAACGCCGCCACCGCGAAGTTCAACAAGCTTCTTGATGTCGCGGAATGCAAGTGCAAGCTTCAGTGCAGCTATCCATGCCCAGTTGCCTGCACAGCGTATCAGGAGGTTGCCATGAGGGACCAGTGCAGGCACCGGAAGCTTACCCTGGGGTCATATGACCGGGATACGATTGTGACTAGGGAGGTCCGCGAGGTGCGGAGGATGGCCAGGCAACTTCAGGGGTGTCGTGGCTCGGCCGCCAGTGAGGCGGTGTCTGCTGCTGAACCTGAGTCGCCTTCCCCGCCGGCTGCTGAGCCGACGCCGCCTGCTGAGTCAGCGCTTGCTGCTAGTGCTTACCCCGAGCCTGCTCCGGGACTAAGTGGTCTTAGCGCTGGTGAGTCAGCCGAGATTCTGACACGGTTCCGTACATGGTGACTTACACCACTCTGGCGGTTGACAGCTACGGTGGCTCGAACCGGGCCGCTGCTGCTTTCATCAACGCCTTTCAACAAGACAGCAGAGACGGACTGGCTACCTGAAATCAAATATCGTAGATCCTAAGAAGGTCTGCTGCGCAAGAGACAGAGCGGGAAGAGAGACGGCTCGTTAAAATTTTGAAGCAATCCATGAGTAAGGTTTGACCATCCTCTACTCCTACGGCCGTGAAGGCAGGAACTACATGAACCACACGGAGTCGGACGAATGCCGGCGAAAAACACGTGGTCGTCATTGCTGAGCCAGGCAGTCGCCACGTGATTCATTTTACGTCCGAGTTCGGCCGCGCCCTGCACTTGTTCAGCTGCACAGCGGTAATGGCCGCTGCTCTCTGCACGGCAACGAGCTAAACCTCTTCCATCTGCTGCTGAGCCTGGATGACACGACCACGGGATCGAAATTTTTTCTAGACCCATCGGTAAGGCCTGTGCTGGAGAGGTCTGAGAGAAGGACGTTGTGACATTCAAGGCCAGGTCGGGGCCCGTGCCAAACCTACCGGTCGACCTGATTCAGCAGCTGAGCACCAACCAGCAGCTGCGGTACCTTTTGGTCTCCGGTGTTCAAAAGGGCTCTGTCTGAAATGTGGCAGCCCAGCGGCCAACCGGACAATCGAACCATGTCAGGTGAATATAAAAACGCATTATCCTTAAAGTTATAGCAATCAGTGTTTAAAGTTCATCAAGTATCATTTGATATTTCTTATGCTCACTGTTGAGTATTTACTTATTATCACACCTCGTGCCATGTTATGTCGCGTCATTTGCTGGTTGTTTCATGCTTACTAGCATGTTTTATATGCATTCTGTCACATTTAAGGACTCTGGAATAATTACATACACTAAAGGGGCACATTAATTTTGCCTGATTTAATGCTCAATTCGTAGCAAATTGTTCTAATAAATTCGCTTTTGTTTTCAGATGGTTGACACTGGCCGCTCGCCTGCTCCTAGTTAACATCTCTGCCGAGACCTCCAGCAGCGCTCTCAAGGACCTCGTCCAGTGCGTGGTCGGCCAATATGTGCCGGTATGGTCTGCCATCCGGCAAAGCAGCGGCTGCGCCTTTGGCTTACGCAGCTTGTTCCGGAGCATCGCGGTGCTCCGCGACCTGCTGCGGCACACATAGTCCTCCAGCATAGCGGGTACTGGGTCCGTCCGGAATAGCTGCTGCTGGGCATGGTGTGGCATGAGAACCGCATGGTCCGCGAACAGGCGGTTCCGATCGTCGCGCCGCTCGTGAGCAACAAACCGAGGGTCTTCTTCAGGCCAGGGTCTTCGCCATCTCAGTGGTAAACTTCGAGGCCGTGAGGTACACCGAACTGATTCCCTGGCACGGACCAGTCACACAGCCTCTACTGCGAGACCTCAGCGACTGCGAGCTGCGGGACAAAGTGCAGGCACCGCTGACCATCTTGCCCTATCTGGTTCACACTAGGAGTGCGACGCAGCGCCGCACTGCCGAGGACGTCTGCGGCTGGAGCTGGAGCTTCGGCAATATGTGGAGCCCAGCTGCGACGGTACTTTTGCTACCGTGCGATCTCTGCCAACACGCGTTTTGGGTTTCCTGTCTGTGAGCAGTTGCTGTTTGGGCCGGTGCATCGAATACACAGGCTCGGCAAAGAGCAAGATGTGCATGGGGTCACCCTACCGCCCCCCCCCCCCCCCGCTCTACGTTCGTGGTACAGGCTGCGGAACTTGCTGTATGTATTAAGTTGTACATCAGACAATACATTTTGAGTCACATGCTATGCATAGTTTTGTTTGCATCACGCGAGTTGTCTTAGAGAAGTGAAAGTCTAAAGCAATCCTTACCCACATACTCGTACGAGTTCATACTCAACAGCACATAAAGTTTCCGCCAAATGGCAATCAATCGGGCAATGTCTGATCCACATATTAGACCTTAGACCGGGACATTCTCGTACGACGGCTTAAGGAGCGCTCGGTAGCGTCGTTTCTATACGCAAAGGTATTTTGTGTCGCTCGTCGCCCACGGCTTGGTGTTACCTGCGGCGGCGGACGCTGCCCAGCATCGGGTGACTGCAACGCCGGGCACGGGTTTGCGGCGATGCTTCGATCGACCCGCGCCTCACGAATTTAAGTTTTTGGGAAGAACTTTTGCTATGCCGTGTACTTGTGGGCTCTTGCGCCAAAGAATTCCTTTGTCTCACTTGGTTTTGCTACTGATGACACGCCCTAGTGCGCGTGCGCTCGTGCAAAACTTACAGATCCGGTGTTTTTTGGATATTTTCAAGGATTGATATCGACCTCGGCAGTCCAGACAGATAACTCAATGAAGCCAACTGCATAATGTAGGCGCGTGTGCCGTCTGTGAATTGTCCATGCATGCAGCACTGCGCAATCCTCGGATAGCGACGCCAACGTTCGATCGGTAGGCTAACGATATTGCGTTGTTCGAAGCTTATCACGAATGCAGCACACTGTTGTCTCGAGTGAGGTGGGGATGTGAGCACAACAGGTGTAAAACTCCATGTATGGTGACCAATATCCACCCAAAACAGTTGCGTATTGTGTAATGTTTTGATTACACCAGCCTGAAATGTCATCACTCGGCAATTTCCGAATTTCGTCGGTGCAATACGCCGTTTTGCATCAACGAGAAGCTCGTTTGCTGGACTAACGCTGACTATGAATGGGCTGTCTAGTTTCTTAAAGGCCATGTTTGCTTACCGTGCCAAACGACATTACAGTCTTCTGATCGGTGACGTCGCTGCCATCAGGGAACGGAAGGGGTTGCTTAACCAAAGCTAGGCGGGCTTTTCCCTGCCATAGTCCTGATTGGCTCCTGTTTTGCTGTTTGTTACACAAGCTATTTGGAGATTAAAACAACGTAACTTGACGTACATGTACTATTGTTCGATAACTAGTATCTGTTAAGAGACGTTTTGATGAGGAAAGAAAAGCCCATAACAATTTCGATTCTGATAAAGCCCCACAAGTACCACTTTAGGGACGTTTATCTCACTTTTTCCTATCCAAACTAATGTGCTCATACATAATGTGCTCATACTCTTGGCCAGCTGCGCTGTCCGTATTGCCAAAAGATCTAGCATACCGTAAATTAATAAAAGTATACCGACGATGTGACGGTCTATGAAGCTTATAATGCAAATGTCTTCGCTTTTACATATTTAAAGGATAATTGACCTCGTAACTTTCGAAGATTGCGTGATGTGACGCTGACGGCGTAACATGTCACACGTGGCACGCGCAAACCTGCCCCATGGGGTTAACATGGGAGGCGCAAAATTTACAAGTCACTAAAAATCTACAAATGACGGACAGGAGCCAGGCTTACATCTCGGCATCGAAGGGTCGCAGCGAAACGAAATCAGCACAATTTTAACCCGACAGAGAACGGGCAATCGCGCCGACGACAGCGCTGGTAAATACGTGCGGCGGCGCACGCACGCTCGCGCGAAATCCATGGACCCGGCGCTTTGGGGGCGTTTTTTTTAGGATTCATGTGAGATCTCGCCAGTCAGTAGTGCGATGAAACCAAGTGTGTGATACAGGTGCATATACCATCTACAAATCACCTGCGCAGCCCAGCACCATCCATGCCATAACGATGTCACAAATCGGTTGGGAAACGGCTTTTCGAAATCGATTACAAATACAACACGCTGTCGCCTGAACTGGGTGAGATGGAGGTGTTAAATGACACAAGCACAAAATACCAACTCAAGGTAATCAATAAACGCCTCAAGCATCTGCGCATTTCGCAGCACTTTACGATAGCCTTAATTTCGATGACGATAGCCTTAAACGTGACCCGCCGAAAATTCGCGGAATCCGTCCGTGGAAGAAGTCGCGCTAGTTAGCCGGGCTGCCGCCGACTGAGGCTTTGTTACAAATCAGCTCCATAGCAGTGTATTTGTGTCGAAGGTCCGCTCGGCGGGTATCACCACACAGGCGCGTCACTGGGCGGTCCGCAGCCGAGGTCGAACGAACACGGCACCAAAATCATTCGGCTGAGACAACAGCATGTAATGGCACTGTCACGCAAATGTGTTCCTGTTTGCAGGTGGCTTGCGAATTGTCTCGCATAACGTGTGGTGACAGCAACAATTTAACCCAGGATCGTTGGGGTTGATACGCAGTAGCCTGTAATGAACGCCTCCCGGGACTGCTGGGAAAATTACTAATTGAAACACCAACTTCTACTGCCAGCTGTGTCGAGCATTAGATGTGAATGGATATGGAATGAATGGAATCCCCAAATCCGAGGATAGCCGATAGCAAACCCAACAATACACGCTCGGGCGGAAGTGGCATGGCAGCGGGAGGCCAACCAATAAGAGATAAACGCACGTGACAGTTCCGAGCACTGATTGGCTGTCCTACCATGTGACGTCGTTTGCTCAGAGGGCTGCATTGCCTGCGGGCACGGGACAGAGTTGGCGGGAGAAAGCCGAGGGGCTGTTTAAGTTGCAGACAGGTAGCTCCACGGGCGTGATATTCTGGTACAGGGAAGATGTGGTCAGATCTGTATTCCTACTTCCCAGCCGTCTCTTTTGAAGGTAAGCCGCTGACTCCTGTGTACGCCAATGAATGGATTTAATGCAGCGGAGGGGTGGGTTGCCGGATCGTTTCTGCGACCTCCGTAAATAACTAGAGACCGGTTGCCGGTCGGCTCACTGGGAGGTGGTGGTCGAGGCGGGAAAGATGTCGACAGTCATGCACAGTGGCACCGAATGGGTGCTTGTAAGAGTTGGAATAACGCGTTTCTAGTTTACTCTCACATAAACGATAAGTAGTTATGAAGCGCTCCCACCTGTCCCCGTTTGTATGTTGTTCGGTCACTTAGCACCGCTGAAGCTGGGATTCTATTCACGCATATACCGTGATACGCCCCCGCTCTGTCTTAGCAGTTCTGATCTATCCCGTCTGTCGCGCCTTAGGACCGGACTCGTGCTGCGCCTATAACCGGCAGCAATAAGCGCGAAGAGTCCCAAGCGTGGCGTTCGCTGGTCTTGGGTATGTTCTGCGCATACTTTGTCGTGGATGTTTTTCCTAGTTCACGACCGTGGGGGAGAGCGCTTCCCTCCCCATTTCCCTCGGGAAACTTAGTCACCGCCGTGTCACGTCGCTCGAACCGTGGGACGACGCAGCTAAAGCTACAGGGGTCATTGCTTCAAAGTGTTGCCGGCTTCGGCCGCGCAGGGCCGCCGCCCTGTCGCTAGGTGGTCGGGTGACGACGAAGCCTGGTCCCGGTCAAAGTTCAAACCGCCCTGGGCGAGGCGAGGATTTGCTGACGTGGAGGCGGCCGGCGCCGTTTCAAGAAGGGACAGCGGGATTAAATGGCTGGTCAAGGGCGTGTGAAAAAAGCACTGTGAAAATTGTGATTTCATCGTCGGCTTTCTTTTTGTTTGGCGAAACGTAAGCCGTGCGCACAACCGTGGACGATACACGTTTGACATGTTTAACGTTCAGTTGCATTTGATTACATTTAGGGAGGTTAAGTAAAACTGGTACTAGCTTTAAAAGAATTGATTCCAGTGTTGAATGCTTCGTGTTTGTGTTAACCTGTTGAACTGAGGTACGAGTTGTAGAACTCACCAGTATTGCCAGGGATAGCCATACAAAGTCCTGAAACGCTCCACTTCTAGGCTTAGAATCAATTAGGCTACCGCACTAGTTCACACCGGGCTGCATGGTAAGATCACTCGGGCGCCAGTAAGGTAGAGGACAGCCTCCATACGAATGCACGTAACCACAGAAGGGCGTTCTCAGTTTCGCGGGGACATCCCAAGCCAAGTGGTGGGACGCCCCAAACAGCAGTGGAATGGGGAGAGTGAGGGGGCGCAAGGACGTGTAAGAAAATACGGAATAGACACGTCTCCCAAGGAGGGAGATCCTAACGAGAGCACGGGGTGACCCAAAAGCAAGCGAAGAGGCGTCTTTGCGCCCTTAACCTTTAAAACATACGCATCGTATGAACCTGAAGCTGGAAAGCTCTCAATTTGAGGCAGGCAGAAATTTGAGGCGGACAGAGCCTCTGGATAGGCGCTTGGGAATCCGGTGCGAATGGCCGAGGTAAAGGGCCGGAGCCTAAATCGCTTGGAAGATTATATATCGCGAGCCCCGATTATTTCGTAATTACTCTTGAAACATTAAATGCATTCAATATAGCGGCATGACATGCAGGGATTAGAAGTTGCAGGTATAAAAGGGGCAAAATGACAGTGGAATTTGAGCACATTTGCCTACGCACGGATTCGCAGATAGGTCTTCACCATTAAGAAATATGCGCTCCATTAAGTTATAAACTAGAGAATATTAACAAATAGAAACTGTCGTACCCAAATAATTTAGAACGGACTGAAGACCGCCAAGAGTGTCAGTTAAGCAAGTGTATTGCTCGAGCACGCTCCATTTCCCGTTTGAGGCTGAATTTGATCCATATTCGCTTGCGTGAAATTTATTATTGCAATTTTTGCCTTCCTGACCCTAATCTGAGGTGTGCTGTCAAGATCGCGACGCTTAGAAAAAGCAAATGCTGGACATATTCAGTTTAAACAATACGCCAGATGGGATCTTGCAAAGACCATGCGTGAAGTTACTCGTAGATCGCATTATGGGGCCGAGTGTACCGCGTCGGGCACAAAACTTTCTACCGATGTGTGCATCTACGCTCTGAGTCATTTGGAGTCGCCTCTTCGAAACTAATAGCTGAGGGATGTTCGTCATTTCGTGTCCCTCTCGATACGGCCCATCTCCTTCCGCTTCTTTCCTCAGCTGGTGCCATGGTGACCTTCAGGATCATTAACATTGCTCAGTGAGTGAGTGAGTAGGGGATAGAGTGAGAGGGACATGCCGCCAGCAACGGTGCCACTACCATCCCATTGTTCCAAAATTCGCACTTCAGCAGTGATGCTCCGGCAACCGTGCCGAATGCTGAGATCTTTCGATCTTTCGTATACGTGGGGTTTTCCAGTCGCATCTGTAGCTAGTATTAAAGAACAGGTTGAAGCATCCCGTTTTTCAGTTTCACTGCATGCTGTTACCGATTGTTGCAATGCCCATGCGAGTTTTCTTTCCAGTTCAAGGCCTAGAGGTTATCTTGGCCAGGAAACGACGTCAACTAACACCACATTTTGACGGATAAGGCTTGCTGCGGTTGCCCCCCCCCCCCCCGCCCCCGTGCCTCCTGAAATGGTATCAAACGAACAAATAAAAAAGCGCCCTTAAAAAATGATATTGGGTTTTCAAAGTGAACGATTCACGTAAGGGTGAACGGTTTACATCACCTTGTGACCGTTCCAGACGACGTGGAGGCGATCCTGGCCGATTTTCGGGAGAACGGCCGGGAGAGTGAGTTCTGCCCGGAGCTGGAGATCAGCAGCGTGCGTCTGCTGAGTCGGCCGCTGCTGGAGGCGCGCCGTAAGGCCAAGAAGGCCCTCCCAGAGCTGTGCGTCTTCTGCAAAAACAACGGCGAGACGGCCCAGTTCTATTCGAATCACATCCTCAAGGTGGGTAGCTGGGTGGTGTTCAGTCGTGGGGAACGCCGGATGTGATGCAGGTCCTCGTCCAATTGTTTCGCAACCGTCTCTCGTGAATTTGCCACGTGGCTTGTGAACAAGGCGGGCCTCATCGGATACTGATCCTCATGTGCGATGCATGATGATTGCCCGCTTGCGCGTCCGGGCGTTGCGACCCCGGCTAGCCCTCGAGAGATATAGTCTCGGGGCCTCTGCGTGTACTGGCAGAAGCCTCGAATGGCTGTTGGTTGCACTCAGTACCCCTGCGCTGCCCTCAGGACCAGCATGGCACAGTACGCTGCCCAGTTCTCCGCGCCTACACCTGCCCCACGTGCGGAGCTCGCGGCGACAACGCGCACACCATCAAGTACTGCCCGCTGAGACCTGTCTGCAAGCCGACCATGCCGCGCATGATCCGCAAAACGGTTCACTACTGAAGGCAGCCAGCTGCGCCGCGTACTGGAGAAATTTGCAACTGTAGTTTAGTGGGAGCTCAGCTGGGGATCGCAGCCTGCCGCTAACTGCGCGGAAACCTGGCGTCGACCTACCAGGCCGTATTCGTTTTACGTTTATTTGTGATGTCTTACGCACCAGGTGTGCGCTACAGTTTGTACCATGTTTTTTGTTCGTTTTATGATGCGCAATCGGTTGTGGGCGAGATTGGTTTTACGGGACGGTTTGAGCTGCAGATTTACTCGCGTCATGATCGTAGCAAATGCTTCTCGTTTTATGGACCACGTCTCACTTATACAAGTGTTTGCTCATCTGTCGGCGTTACGAAATTCACGAAATAAATTATTGCTTCAGTTGGGTTTTGCAGTAGGATGTAAAGACGACTTGGATAAACGTGATGCAGCGATTATTCACAGGAGGGCCAGATTCTCGCGCGCCGGTCTACTGCTCAATGTGTCCGCCAACTGCGGTCTGAAGCCTTATCCAATAGCGCATAGGTCTCTAAATGTACTGTTTATGCGGTTCGTCAATATCTGGTGCCCATTGTTTCGCTTGTCACGTGCCAGCCACAGATTGCGCTTGCCCGAGTCGTGCTGCCATTAAGGCCAGGACAGTCCGGCGGAGTGATTCAAACCTATAGCAAGCTCGTGAAGGCTTGTCCGCTTGGCCAGATGGTTGATATGGCCTTTTTTCCATGCACTGGCTGTGAAGGGGCGAATTCGTGTTTTAAAAATATTTTCTCGATGAGTCTGACTATGCTGCACATTTTGACATCCGGGTTTCAGGAAATCTAGGGAGAACATTCGGAGCAGCAGGCTGCCTTAGGGCCAGGCTGATTGCGGGCTGTGGCAAGCCGCGCTTGTCCGTCCCGGCCCGAGGTAAGGGTCGAGGTGTCATTTCGACGCGCTGTCGACCGCCGGGCCCCGTCACAACCTGCAGGGCTGCGACCGCAGGAAGAGGGGAGACGTGTACCGTTTAGACGTGTGTTCGGTGCACCGTTTGGCGCCCTCTTGCTGCGGACGGGCGGCGGAAGCGGATGGACGACGCTGGCGACATCTGTGTTACCTGACCGAGATGCTCGTTGGCAAAGATACCGCCCCTGCAGCTCGGTCGATGATGCCTTGTGGGTTAAGGTGTCGGCGTCATTGCTGCACATGTCACGTGCGACCCGCACGCCACCTCTCATGGCGTACAGGCCGATGTCAGACATGTGTCTGGGTTCCAAGCGTGGATCCAGGACTCTGTAGGGTTCCATTTCAATGGAATCCTGGGATCTTTTTGGTGCTCCAGCCCCATGTCCGCAGGCCGTCACCGGCTTGAGCGCTGCTGCACAGCAAGCTAAATGTCATTCGAGGGCGACAATAAAAAAGTATTGTTCCATATTTCTATGAGTTTTTTTAGCCAAAATGGTCATTTTGAGGATCATTTGATACAGCTCACATCCCTGCCCTTTTTAAGACCTAAACACCTTGTTTCTGAGGTACACACCCGCCCAGATGCAGTGACCTTCGGGAAGAACAATTCAAGATCACAGAGAATTTTATGGCGCCATAATAACATCATCCAATTTTTGCGATTCCATTAGCCATGTGGCGATCAAGGCCAATAATCATATAATTGTGGAGTCGTTCATATCTGGCGTTTGTGAGCACAATTTCCAGATATGCCGGCCGTCAAATGGCTCTCAATGCTGTGCGTAGCATGGCACTTAATCATACAAGGACTTATTGGGGAGCATATTTACTAAACAGAGAGATCGTGTTGTCTGGAGGAGTCTTTTCCACTCAAGTCTAACAGCAGTTATAAGTGGGCTTGTTTAATCGCACCTGATGCCTCCTTCAATAAATTCAAGTTTAAGGTTAAGGCAATGTTTTGAGTGCTGAAAACATCACATGGGATACAATAATAAAGAGGCTAAGTAAGGGGAAATGTAGTGTTCTTAAGAGCATGGGCGTAAGAACATGGGGGCCATGGCCGCCCACTTTTCAAGATGCGGGGGCCAGCATTGTTAACTGCCCCCCCCCCCTCCCCCCACTCTTCAGATTAAGGTTGTGTTTAGCTCACTTTTGCGCCATATTTGAATATGCATGCCGATTTACCTAGTTCATCAGCCATCTTCCTGAAGAAGCGTCATCTTTTTCGTTTGCTTATTGGTCCATAGCTTAATGTCGCAGCCGCAGACCGACGCCACACGGCCTACGGAGACTGCAACGCCGGGCGTTCAGGCTGCTGTTGCTACGAATTGCGGACGCGTATGTTCAAAAACACATTACAGAGTTTTTTATCGGTAATCATTTCTGACTGAATCTTGCACAGTTTAAGACGAACATGGATTAGCAATCTTAATGCAAGCTTAGGACCCCATTTCATCTGCAACCTACGTTCAAGGATTCCTCAATGCCTCTGAAGGAAACAGAAAAGCACGGAACTGGAGCCTGTGTGCCAATTATTGGACCACCTTTGGCGATCAGGGATGTTGTTGCGTCAATGAGGGTTCCTGTGCTGATCCGGGTCAGAAGGCCTCCCGTGTCAGGAAGAAAACAACGCGATATGATATAATTCTTCCTTCCTTCCTTCCTTCATATATTCTTCCAATGGCTCCCGGATCGACCAGGAGATCCCGCGTCATGTCGCCAGAATGACAGCGAGAAGACGCTTCGCGATGGGACGGAGTGGCCTATCAGCTCTTGACCGGAAGTGGCAATGTACCGGTGGTGTTCTACCCTTGCCCGGAATGAAATGAGGGGCCTCATTATTGTTGAGTAGAGGGGAGGTATCATTATTGTTGAATAGAGTAGGTCGAAATAGTTTTTTTAAACAAGCAAGGCCATCCAATGTTTGCCTAAGAACATCCATTTTTCAGAATGGATTAGTGAAAAAGTGCATCGAAAGGTTTGAACACGCCCGCCCGCAACCTCGAGAGCAAGGACAGCGATGGTCTGGGTTGCAGCTTCCGTAAAACCAAAAGGCGTCGGTTATTGCAAGTGCAACCAGATGGCGAGCGTCGTGCTAATCTGTCTTCTGGACAGATTAATAGTTACAGAAATACGGAAACAGAGAATCTACCCTTACTCTTCCAGTTCCACTACCAGATTCCAGCACCACTTCGCAGTGCTTCAAGAGCCAAACCGTTCTTATCATCAGTCTAAAAATTGCATACGCGAAATATGCGCTCAGACTGCCTGGTAGATGTAAGCTTTGATGTGCTGAAGCGTTCAAAGGTGCTTCGTTCGGAAGCGTCATCATTTTTGTCCATCCGTTGGCCGCGGCTCAGTATTAGCTATTGAGCCGCCGCTGCGCGGCCCACGGAGACTGCAACGCATGGACGCCGAGGTTTTTTTAAACTAAGATTTGCGAGTACGCATGCTCAAAATCATGTCACTTTATTTTTATTACCAGCCGATTCAAGTATTCAAAGGTAGCTATTTCACAACCGTGATCATTTTTGTCCACAGGTGGGCCATGACGAAAAGTTAACCACTGACTGCAACGCCTGGTGTCGAGGTTTTTGTTGCTACGATTTGCGAGCGCGCATGTTAAAAACCGCGTTATACAAATTGCATCACAAGTCGATTCTGACTGAATGTTTACCATTTCCAGACAGGCGTGACTTGGCGATGTTAATACATATTGTTGACCACTCGATCTACAGTAAAAATTTTCACCCTCAAATGTCAATCAAACATAACGATCTGTAATCTGCCTTCGCCATGTCCTCAATGTCTTTAGGTCGCAGATAAAACATTATGAAAAAGCTTCTGAATTCTATCTGTTTAGAAAGAGTTGATTAAGCCATTATTACTTAAGGTCACTGGTGATTTGTTCCATGCGGTCGTTAAACGCCTGATTTCTGCAGTGTATTGGCCTTTACATGCGCTCGGGTGAGGGCCAAATTGACTCGTCCCCCAGAGGTTTTTTTTCCAGAATGGTTTCCGAACGGCGCGGCGCAGCCGCGCCATGCTTTGTGTAGCTGTAGACAATTGAATGGCGGATTGTTTGGCATCAAAAATTTAGACGTACTGCGTAGATTTAAGGCTGCTGACCTATCGCAGTTCAAAGTCAGGCCACGGTATCAGCGAAGTCAACTTGCAGGGAATTGTTCAATCTGATGCATGATGGGGTGTTGGACGAAGCCATACATATCTGAGATGCTTTCTTAGGTAACACAAATATGAAATGAGAGAATTACGTTGACCTGAGGTCAGGTATAAAGGTAAGATCAGGGTCAAACCCGATCTGTTTTATTACTCTCGGAGTTGCTGTATGGGATAGTTTCTGGTGTTCATTTCGAATCTGTTGAAAGCAGGAACCGCATTAAACATCCTTCATGGATTTCCTAAAGGTCAGAATAGGTTGTTGACCTAAAATGACTTTGGTCGACATTTGTTTTCAGAAACACACTGCCTAGCGTAATTTTTGTCGCTTATTCAAATGCAAAACTCGGAGCAGTCTTGTATAATTTTGGTCACCATGACTTTCAAAAGGTCAGACAAGGTCACGGACCTCAACTGAACACGTGACCTTAACTAAGAAACAGTTATCTAGGTTCTGGGGGCACTTTAGAGACCAAGGCGTACTTCAGTTCCTTCAGTCCCCCTCAAACACTGCCCCTGGCCAACTCGAGACCTTTTGCTAGTACAGAGCCCCTGTGAGGCACTGTGGGACCCGTGAGGCACTGTGGGACCCCAGGTCGTCACAGGGAGACTCTCAAGGACTCAAGGGCCCTGGCTAATGCCAATCTTGAGTCCCTGCCTTATCCCCGTCTTGGGAAATAAGCCATTAGATTCACACCAACACGTAGCCGATCATTCGGTACTGAAGTGCCTGACCAGCATAGAAACCATCATCGACTCAAGAGACCTTCCATCGGCGCAAAGCACCCCCTGAGTGGCATTTGAGGGCGAGCCGGCCCCGTAATGCGACCGGCCAGGGAAATCGAGCCCCTGATCGTCGGTCTTGAGAGACCCTAGGATCCCCCCGTGAACTAAGTGTTGGTGAGTGGAGTGGGAGGGGCAGATGGCTCTTGTGCCCTGCCCTGCCTGCACCACTGCCGGGATCATCCTGTAAGGTATCACTTAAGTTGTTTACTTTTATTACCTTTTTGCTTGTGTCCGTTTAACCTTCGCCACCACACCCTTTATTAACATCCCCGCTGTGGATTGCAATAAGAACGCGGCCTGAAAGCCAGAATAGCCAGCAACGGTGCAGCACGCCTGGCAAACCGTCTGCGCGCACAGGACCTGCCAGAAGAGCAGCACATGGCCCCTTGGAACAACACCTCGCGGTAACGCGGTGTCAGGCGACTGCCCAAAAACAAGATCATTTAATGTGATGAGAGTCCCAGAAAAGACTTATCAGCGGAGCATCAAGCACAGCAGCGTCCAACACCGCATGGAGATAGAGGACGGCCAGAGATGGGTCAAGGGAAGAAGCCAGCCCAGACCACGGCAAAGGACCGCTGAGGGAGCATGTTACTGAACCGGGAGCCTGGCGGGCGTCCTCGTCAGCTCGGACATGGACCAATCAGCGGTAGAGAGAGTCGTCACCGGGCAAAACTCCACGCGCTGTTTTACGTACCGAGACACGTAAAACTCGCCTACTTAGCTCACGTGGCCCTGAAAACGAATTTCAGTAGTGGGTATTTTGGCCTTTGTTTGGTGTGTATGCAGTTTGGAAGCAGAATGTTCGAAGTACAATTGCGGCTGAATGTTATCGCGGCATTGTTCATAATCGGCTTTCTAGACACGCATTCGGTTTTCTTGGTTGTGCTCATGGGTGTTCTCGATGTGCTTTCAACGCTTCTGATGAGGCGCTTGCACGTTGTACGCTATGACTGCATAGGGCCAAAACTTAGCATACGGAAGATGTAAGGAATAGTCATAT